GCTAGACCCTTATTCTGAATGGGGCCTAAGAGACTCCAGATCTCTCCTAGAGAAATTAATGTAGGAATTCAATTATTGGAAAGGGTGTGGCATATTCAAAATGCATTTAATTTTTTTTTTCTTTGAATAAACTAGTGTCATTTTTCATGGAGGGAGTCAGATTTTCATTATGAAATTTTGACTGGGGGAGTCGGATTTTCATGTTACACCTGGTAAGAACTGTTAACAATGAATTTAGCCAACCTTGCTAATGTGCACTACCTCTACAGGGACTCTTGCTGAATGCAATCAGATTAACATACTTACAAACCTCTTGGTGTTGAGTAGAATATAGAAAAGCTGATTATTACATGAGTGCATTGGTAAAAAAAAAGGAGGCATGTTAGTCTGTTTATCTGATTGCATTCAGCAAAAGTCCCCATGACGTTAGTGATCTTGGTCAACAAGATTCATACGGTCTATATCTTATGCTGTGAGGCTTATCCATATCCCATATAGTGAGGCTTATCCTGTTGATCGACTGGTCCTAGCTCTGTTGAAATGTACTAAGTACTGTACATTTATCCTTAATTGAAGACAGTTAACCAACATTTTTGTCTCAAGATTACTCTTAGGACTTTGAGGTTTCAATTAAAAGATATTTTCTGAAATTTGTCACTGCATGTGGCTATATTAATTTATGTGATTAAATGATTCATGGTAATGTTTATGGTAATCACATTTTGCTTCATTTATTGGCAGGCATTTGCAGAAAGATGAATCTTGCATACCTCCAGCGAGATGTACAGATGTTACTACATGGCAGACATGTTGTCATCATTGGAAGTTCAGGTGTGTTTATTTGTGTTTTGACAGGTTTTTGCTGCAAATTGTCACAAGGTGTATGTTAGCATGTAAATATGTTGTGCACATTTTATCCTGAGCTAAAACTGTGTTGCTAACTACAAAATGATAGTTTGTGAAAACATATTTTTAAAAGCATTTTGAGTTTGTCGATTAACAAAATTTCAGTTTGTCAATTTGCACCAGAATGTCAGTCACAGCTATAATAATAAGAATTTGTAACAAGCTAATGATTAAAATTTTACAAAGTAAAGTGATAACACTTCATTATTCTAGGAAAAGCTGTTTGTGAAGCATTAATATAATTTTCAGAATATTGCTTTAACAGGGCATAATATTGCATTTTGACATGTTACTTGTGCACTTCATTTCCTTTAAAATGATTTATTCTAGTGATGAGATGTGTTTATAAGGATTTGGTACTACTACTACAAGCCAATAGATACCTCACCACAGCACAGCTCAAAGCCAAGGTAGAAAGACTTCTGCTCTGGAGGGGATTGTATCTTTGAAATTGGGGGCTTTCGATGTAATAAGTCTGTCATTGAATTATCAAAAATTATGTATTGTTTCATATGTAAATATTTTAACATGATAAGTAATAATTTTAAATGTGATATTATAAATTACACAGTACAAAATTCACATAATGTGTATTTTCAATTCTTTAATGATCTAATTTTGATTGCAACATATAACTAAAGTGGACACTTATTTACAGGGTGAGAAAACCTTTTTGGGTGATGAGCTTCTGATGGGAGGCTGCCTGGGTGAGATGGTGAATAGTACAAAATACAGAGAGGTCCGCAGGTACCATGGTCATAACGTGATGGTGACATATTACTTCATTGTGAGGTGCTATGATGAGTATGTGAAACAAGTCCTAGGAGACCTGGAGCAGATGAAACCAGATGTGATCATCATGAGCTCCTGCATATGGGACATGACAAGGTATAGAGATTGAATTCACGACATTACAAATAAGCTAAAGATATTAGAAGTTATGTTAACTGTCAAGTGAGTGCATTTTGAACTTCTGTAGCCAATTCCATTTCCATGGTCAGTTTTAATCTGGTTTGATTAACCCTGGGTTAAGAACTTGATTTGTAATTCATGTGACATATGTACTGGGTTTATGATTTTATTAAGTTTTAACACGTTTCTGAGGAAAGCATTCATTAAACTGTCAAAAAAATTTGAAATTACAAGCTTGTTAATGGTTTGTTTCTTTCTATAAATAGTAGTAATCCCTTTACATTTAATTTCCTGGAATTGTTTTTTTTTTTTTTTTTTTACAGCTATGGTTCCAATGCTATACCAGCTTATCGCACTAACATCAGACAGCTGTTTGACCACCTGAACTTGGTGCTCTCCCCTTCAAGTTTGTTCATGTGGATGTCCACTTTGCCAGTGAATAAGAAACCACGTGGTGGCTTTCTTGAACCCTCAAAGGCATTCAATCCATACAACCCATGCAACCTCCACCTTGACATCACTGCAGGTAACCACTGTGCAAGGCTAGAAGCTCTCTTCCATGGGTACAGTGTTTTAGATATGTGTGAACTGTTCACACAACATGTTCACCTGAGGGCCCCTGATGGAGTGCACTGGAATGAGATCGCCCACAGACGTATAACCAACATTTATCTAACAAAGCTCAGTCAAAGGTGGCACTTTATGGCACCGTCTCACAGAATTTTAGGTCTTCAACCCTCACAGCTTAGGCATTGCCGTTCCTACACCACAGACAGCTTAGCTGATAGGTATATTGGGTATGGAACCTTGTATGCGCCTGGGCTTGACCTTGACAACAATATCAGTGTACCACGGTTCAGTTTCCAGAAACCTTTGTCAGTTGAGAGGAGCAAAGTACCATCTACCAGTGGGAAACAAGTTTCCAATGAAGCATCATGTAAAGTTACCAACAACAACAAAAATGATGCCAATGGGAATGCCATGAAATCTTCAAATGAAACTACTGAAGAGGAGAGTGTTAGTGCTACAAAGGAGGTAGTCCAACAAAGTGAAAATGCTAAGATGAGCCAAGGNCCATAGTTACTATTGAACTCGAATAGGAAGTCATATACTGGCAATCTAAATGTGACCTTGAAATTGACCTTTGACCTACTTTACACCATAATCTGAACATTGCAACTTTTTAATGCTTTTTTTTTTCAAAACTGGCAGAGATACGCCCATAGTTACTATTGAATTTGAATAGAAAGTCACAAGAGGCAATTTACTGTGACCTTAAAATTGACCTTTGACCTACTTTTAACCATGAACTGTATCTGTAATAACAATAATAGAATTGTAAGTGGAGCTTTGATGCATATATCTCTGTCCAATGATGTGGGAAAAGGCCCATGAGTTTTCACAGCAATAGATAATTTTAATCAAGTCCAGAAGTGATACACCCCATTTCCATAGATTTTTAGATCGATCTAGCCCTGTGGGGAGTCTCACTAGATTACTGTCAGCTTGGCCGGCTAAAGCGTCTGTCCCACCTACTAAAAGCTGTAAGGGGGTAATTAACTATGGTGCCCGCTCGGCTGACTGCAATTTAGCGTGAACCCCCAGGGAGTTAGATCGATCTAAATCTCTGGGAAAGCACCCATATATTCAAGATTGGGTCAGACATTTGAGAACAGTTGCTGACCAGTTTGGGTATATGTGTTAAGGTAATTAAAAAGATCATGCCTATTGGTAGACTGATATTTGCTATGGTACACTGACAATAATTAACACTTACCAACTAACAGCATAACAGTTGCACTCTGTCTGCTATCACACTTGAGCTAATCAGCCTTCTTCAGAGTCTGAGTGAATCCAAACAAATCATTGTACTTTTGCTAGATTTTTCCAAGGCTAAACTAATGTAAACTTCAGTTTGACTCAATTATAACCAAGCAATACTACTTGCTACTAGGAATTGTTCAAATTTTCAGAACGTATATCAAACATGAGCTTTGCTGAATTATTTTTGTGGTAGTTTAATAATATATATTTAGGAATGAGAAGAATTTATTAGATTTATTGCAGGTGTTGTGATGATTTCATGGTCAAATTGCATTTCATAAACTTAATCTTTTAAAATTTAATTGCGCAATGAAGGGACATAAATGTATGCACCTCCACCTCCACCCCTGTGCTCATACCATTGTTTTTGACAGCTAGCCTGCTTCAAAATTCTGGTTTATCACCTGGTATGTACCAAAAATTTGTGTTGTCAGTAGATTTTAGTCAAGTCCCATCAATTGCTGGATTTCCTAGGGCCCCACTCAGAATAGGGGACTAACTAGTCTGAGGGTGAAATATGGCCAACCCACTTGAATACTTCTCCACGGGATATCTATTCAGTGTCTATTAGTAGATGAGGTGGCAACTTTTGCAGTGGGTCGCCATATATGATCCTCAGACAAGCTAGACCCTTATTCTGAATGGGGCCTAAGAGACTCCAGATCTCTCCTAGAGAAATAAATGTAGGAATTCAATTATTGGAAAGGATGTGGCATATTCAAAATGCATTTAATTTTTTTTTTCTTTGAAAAATAAACTAGTGTCATTTTTCATGGGGGGAGTCAGATTTTCATTATGAAATTTGGACTGGGGGAGTCGGATTTTCATGTTACACCTGGTAAGAACTGTTAACAATGAATTTTGCCAACCTTGCTAATGTGCACTACCTCTACAGGGACTCTTGCTGAATGCAATCAGATTAACATACTAACAAACCTCCTCCTGGTGTTGAGTAGAATATAGAAAAGCGTGAGATCATTGGAAAAAAAAGGAGGCATGTTAGTCTGTTTATCTGATTGCATTCAGCAAAAGTCCCTATGACGTTAGTGATCTTGGTCAACAAGATTCATACGGTCTATATCTTATGCTGTGAGGCTTATCCATATCCCATATAGTGAGGCTTATCCTGTTGATCGGCTGGTCCTAGCTCTGTTGAAATGTACTAAGTACTGTACATTTATCCTTAATTGAAGACAGTTAACCAGCATTTTTGTCTCAAGATTACTCTTAGGACTTTGAGGTTTCAATTTAAATATATTTTCTGAAATTTGTCACTGCACGTGGCTATATTAATTTATGTGATTAAATGATTCATGGTAATGTTTATGGTAATCACATTTTGCTTCATTTATTGGCAGGCGTTTGCAGAAAGATGAATCTTGCATACCTCCAGCGGGATGCACAGATGTTACTACATGGCAGACATGTTGTCATCATTGGAAGTTCAGGTGTGTTTATTTGTGGTTAGACAGGTTTTTGCTGCAAATTGTCACAAGGTGTATGTAAGCATGTAAATATGTTGTGCACATTTTATCATGAGCTAAAACTGTGTTGCTAACTACAAAATGATAGTTTATGAAAACATATTTTTAAAAGCATTTTGAGTTTGTCAATTACCAAAATTTCAGTTTGTCAATTTGCACCAGAATGTCACTCACAGTTATAACAATAACAAGCTAATGTTTAAAATTTTACAAAATAAAGTGATAACACTTCATTATTCTAGGGAATGCTGTTCGTGAAGCATTAATATAACTATGAATATTGCATTAACAAGGCATAATATTGCATTTTGACATGTTACTTGTGTACTTCATTTCCTTTAAAATGATTTATTCTAGTGATGAGATGTGTTTATAAGGATTTGGTACTACTACTCCAAGCCAATAGATACCTCACCACAGCACAGCTCAAAGCCAAGGTATCTTTCAAATTGGGTGCTTTCAATGTAATAAGTCTGTCATTGAAATATAGAAAATTATGTATTGTTTCATATATAAATATTTTTATGTACAGACACAGATGTGTCTGTACATATTGCCATCACCTGCGTCTGTCGTCGCCGATGGCGATGCCGATGCCGGTGCCGTGCACTTTCCTTGTAAACACGATAAGTGGAGGGCAGTTTTACTTTTTGGCTTTATATTTACAGAGCTGATGAATATTCATAAAACGCAGGCCAACAGGGGCGGATTTAGGCCGTCTTCTAGGTCTTCTGGAAGACGGTCAGATTTTCAAGTTTGCATTGACAGGTATCTATATTTTTCTGTCGGAAGACGGTCAAAAATGGAGGATGGTAACAAAGATAATTTGGAAGACTGTCAGAAAATATCTCTGGATCCGCCCCTGGGCCAAGTTCGAAAATCAGCATGATCGAGCCATTATTGTAGAAGTTATGCTGTTTTTTCACTTTTCAGCATATTTTTCACATTTCCTCAGATTCAATTCTTAGGCATGTTAACAGTCTCATTATTAAACTAATAAGATACGTAAAAGTGTTTGTTTGACATTTCCTGCATCTTTACAACATTGTTAGTTGATTTTGTAAAAATGATGGTAAATTTGTTATCGTGTATTGTGTAATAAAGTTTCAAAAATGGAAATAAACTCATATCATTGCAGTTTGTCAGATTCAATCATTCACTATGTTCAGAATGGAAGAATGGAAGAAATTGGACATTTAACACTGCTCTGTTGATATTTTTCCCATCTCATCAATTTTCTTAGTTGAACATATAAAAATGGCAGTAAACTGTTAATTTCGTTTTATGTTAAAAATTGTTAAAACTGGAAAAAAAACATTTCAGAACATTGCTGTCTTGTTACATGATGAGTTATAATTTTAAATATGATATTATGAATTATACAGTTCAAAATTCACATGATGTGTATTTTCAATTCTTTAATGATCTAATTTTGATTGCAACATGCAACTTATGTAGACACTTATTTACAGGGAGAGAAAACCTTTTTGGGTGATGAGCTTCTGATGGGAGGCTGCCTGGGTGAGATGGTGAATAGTACAAAATACAGAGAGGTCCGCAGGTACCATGGTCACAACGTGATGGTGACATATTACTTCATTGTGAGGTGCTATGATGACTATGTGCAACAAGTCCTAGAAGACCTGGAGCAGATGAAACCAGATGTGATCATCATGAGCTCCTGCATATGGGACATGACAAGGTATAGAGATTGAATTCATGGCAATACAAATAAGTTAAATATATTACAGGTTATGTTAACTGTCAAGCAAGTGCATTTTGAACTTCTGTTGCTGATTCCATTTCTATGGTCAGTTTACGTAATCTAGTTTGATTAACCCTGGGTTAAGAACCAGATTTGTAATTCATGTGACATGTACTGGGTTTATGATTTTATTAAGTTTTTACATTCATTAAACTGGTGAGAAAATTTGAAATTAAAAGCTTGTTTATGGTTTGTTTCTTTCTTTATTTCCTGAAATTTTCTTTTTTTTCACAGCTATGGTTCCAATGCAATACCAGCTTATCGCACTAACATCAGACGGTTGTTTGACCACCTGAACTTGGTGCTCTCCCCTTCAAGTTTGTTCATGTGGATGTCCACTTTGCCAGTGAATAAGAAACCACGAGGTGGCTTTCTTGAACCCTCAAAGGCATTCAATCCATACAACCCATGCAACCTCCACCTTGACATCACTGCAGGTAACCACTGTGCAAGGCTAGAGGCTCTCTTCCATGGGTACAGTGTTTTAGATATGTGTGAACTGTTCACACAACATGTTCACCTGAGGGCCCCTGATGGAGTGCACTGGAATGAGATCGCCCACAGACGTATAACCAACATATATCTAACAAAGCTCAGTCAAAGGTGGCACTTTATGGCACCATCTCACAGAATTTTAGGTCTTCAACCCTCACAGCTTAGGCATTGCCGTTCCTACACCACAGACAGCTTAGCTGATAGGTATATTGGGTATGGAACCTTGTATGCGCCTGGGCTTGACCTTGACAACAATATCAGTGTACCACGGTTCAGTTTCCAGAAACCTTTGTCAGTTGAGAGGAGCAAAGTACCATCTACCAGTGGGAAACAAGTTTCCAATGAAGCATCATGTAAAGTTAGCAACAACAACAAAAGTGATGCCAACGGGAATGCCATGAAATCTTCAAATGAAACTACTGAAGAGGAGAGTGTTAGTGCTACAAAGGAGGTAGTCCAACAAAGTGAAAATGCTAAGATGAGCCAAGAGTGTGAAAATGCTGCAAAGGCAACTGAAGTCCGTAAAGATACTGCAGAGTCTACATCAGAGGGTGAGAGTGATGTAAAAATAACTGAAGAGATTATAGATCTAACAAATATATCCCAAGATAGTGAAAGTGCTATAACAACAATCCAAGAAAGTGAGAACATTTCCCAGACTTCCCAAGAGAATGACCTTGTCATGAAGGCAGTCCATGAAGATGATATTCCATCAAGGGAACTTCAAGAAAGCAGTGTAATAGCCAGTAGTATTCCCAACAGCACATCTGGTTCAGAGAGTAAAGAGGCTTCAAATGCAGACACAGAACCAGAGACTGGGGCATCTGGCAGCAAAAGTAAGGAAGAAATGGGCATGAATGGCCAAGTCAGTGACAGTGATATTGTTATAGTTGAAACTCGGTGTAAACCTCAAATGTCAGCTGATGTTCATGAATCAGAAGTACCTGTTGATGACATGGCTAAAACTCCCACAGAGGAGGCCTCTCAGCTGACTGTCATAAAAGTAAAATCTGCAGAAAAAGAAGTCTGCAGCAGTGAAAACACTGTGGATGTGAAGCCCATGTCCCAAGTACAACAAGACAACACCAAACAGTCCAGGAAAATTCCACTCAAGATTCTAGACGGGAACAATATTGAGACTGTTAAACCTTCCACTGGTACAGCATTAAAAAGGAAGTTGTTTGTTAAGAAAAGTTACAATGTAGCAGCTGTCAAGAAACGCAAGACTGTGCATGTCAACCCTAAGCACAGGCATTTTAACAGTGGTAGGATGCAGTGGCAGATGGACTGCCAACAAGTCAATGGGGAATTTCATCACGGCCCATTTACCCAGCATTCGTATGAAGAGAGGCAATGGTCAGGACCACCACAGGATCCAGATTATATGGCAAGCTGCCCACAACAGCAGTGGAATGGCCAACAAGGTGGTTATGATAAACACTTGCCACCAAATTGGAATCAGCAAGGGGGGTACAATGGACACTGTCCACCCCAGGATTGGAGTTGGCAAGAGGTAAGTTGTAGTGCCCCAAACCAGGGATGGAATCAAGAAGGTTATGGCAGAAATGTTCCATCACAGGGGTGGAATCAGGAACAGGGCTACAAAGAGGAATGGAATCCACACTGTGGCAACTTTCCATCTCACAACTTAAACAGGCAAGGGGGCTGTAATGAGAACTTTAACTATCAGGAGTGGAGGCAACAAGGGTATCACTGCAATATTAACCCCCCTCAAGAAAACCAAGGCATGCACAATTATGGGAGAGACATCCATAACCCAGCAGCACAAAGTGGCACATGGAACCAGGGCCCTTATTGCAATCCAGTTCCTTTGGAAGGAGATCAGAATAGTGGCTATGGAGGTGACTTGCATGCTCGTAGTGACCCAGTTCGTGGTGGATGTACAGGCCCATTTTGGCAGCAGGAATCAGGATGGCAGAATAATGGAAATTATCAGTTATATCCAGAGACAGGAGCTTGTGTTAACAGGGGTTTACAGTTTCAGCCTCCCAGTGGTTTTGCAGAAGACAGCTTAAAAGACGTTGCAGCAGAGAATGAATGTGCTTGGACCAGGGAGCCAAAAATGATGTTTGACTTGAGAACCTTATTGAATAGGAGAAGGAGTAGAACAAATTTGGTTTGATTTAACAGTATGGCATTAAGGTAGTGTGTAACAAGTCCAGTAGAGAACATTTGAAAGGTGCTTGTCATTGTTAAGGTGACAGAACTTGAGATAGAATATAGTTTTTTGTGTATTAAATATTTAGGCATGTTACTTTTATCACATCCTAGATATTATCATTTCTTAACCTGTTATTACTCATAAGTAAGCTATGATTTTTGGCTTTGTCAGTTTACCTTAATACCCTAATTCAAAAGTTTTGAATAGATCAAAGTATTGCACAGATTTTGATTTTAAAAAAATATAGGATATGGTCAGAAACGTGATCCAGTAATACATTTTAATTAAAATTAATAACTGTTGAGTTGCCCTGAGAGAAAATCTGATTAGAATGTTCAAATCATGTACATGCCATTTTTTATTATAGTTTATGAAGTTAAAAGTTTTTATTATTGTAGCTTTAGCTGTCCATTCATCAAGGTACCCTTCTATTTCTTTTTACCACTAAACTTGAGTTTATATTGTTTGAAGATCAAGTCATTAAAGGACATTGAGAAAATTTACAAAATTTTTGGTTTTTATGTTCTGAGAGATATAATTATAGGTCGTGTACATGATCCTTAGACAATGCCACACACACACGAAATCAAATTTGTATAAAAATTTTAACTTTTCTACACCACTGAAGAGAGGACCATAATGTATGGAAATTGGGGGGGGGGGTAGAAATCGCTCCTCCCGACATATATTGATTTGGGATAGGGCATACAAGTATCTTGAGCAGAACTGATGCTTTGGCACTTGATATTAAATTCTACAATTCTTACAGATTTCCTAAACTAATTGAAGGCGCTCTCTCTAATGCCAAGGACTCCTGCATTCGGTACAGGAATCATTCAATCATTGATGTACATAAATTTTACAGAATTAACAGAAGAAAATTTTGATATCTTTATTTTCTCTACTCTTTATTAAAGGCTGTTAAACCTTTTCTGTCAATCTTTTTCATTTATTCGACTACATCGTATTTTTTCTCGATTAATTTTCACTAAAGCCTCTAAACGCTACCGGCACACTTATAAGTGCATTGGTTCCAAATATATTTTTTGTTAGCATAACATCCAAGTTGACAAATGTGCTAAATCCGTTAAATTTGTAAATATGTCAGTATATACCCGTGTATGTAATTATCTTTAGAGAACACGTTTGTCGCCTTCATTGCATTTAAGGATGGCAAATTTCTAGATGTATAATTTGAAACATACATAGTGAAATTAAATTGAACTATTTTATTCAGTTGTCTTCTTCCTAACCAGTTCCTTTATAAATGAGCCTTAAAAGAATGGTCTTCATGCCCAAAGTGTTTGAACAGTACTTGCTAAAAATCGACACAAAAAGTGAGAAAAGTATTGTGAGCAACTGATGATGAAAAACTAGGAAAGCACTCCGAGAGCGCAGACCTTCGCCAAGGCAGCAATTTTTGATTATTATTGATAATTGATTGATTATTGATCTGGATCACCACCAAAAACCAATCACTTCTAAGTTAACCCATTTCCCACCTATCCTGAAAATTTCATCAAAATCGGTCGATAACTTTTTTGAGTTATGTTGATGACAAACAGACAGACTGGTGAAAACAACCTCCTTGGCGGAGGTAACGAGACGTGTACATGTATATAGTGATTTAATTGGAATATTGGGAATTGTGCCGCAGCAAAGGAATCAAACGTATCTTTCAGTCAAAACTAAGTCTGCCACAAAAACCACCAAGAGCCACTAAATTGAATCTTATTCAAGTATACCTCTCCAATGAATGAATGTAGGTTCTCATCGTAGCTCCTTGAGGATTTTTTTTTACTCACATGATAAAGGTAGGCCTATACTTGGCGAAATGCCCTTCTGATATATGCAGAAGAAATTCAACTGAGCGATAGGCTAATAAAAACCTATGTTAAAGCTTTACTAAAGGCTAACCTTTGTTCTTGCTTTGTTTTTCCCCGAAATACAAGATAAACTGTCCCTTACTCTGCTTTTATATATATATATATATATATATATATATATATATATATATATATAAAAGCAGAGTAATATATATATATATATATTTTTTTTTTTTTTTTTTTTTAATTGCCATCATATTCAAGTTTTCCGCATCCGTCTTCTCTCCTGTATTTGTGCCGTTTTGGTTCACCTTATTGCTGTCTCATTCTGTTAATTACGGTGTGTTCCAAGCCTTATCTTTTAATATCAACACTTCATTAGCAACTTTTCCAATAAAGATGGGGAGTTCAAGCTTGTTTCCTCGCAACTGAAATGTCTTTTCCGCGAAATGTGACAACATATTGGTTTTGACTATTAAAACGGTGGCCAGCCATTTTCTTTGTAACGGTTTCTGAAGGATCGCTGTAATCTGACACAAAGCCATTGGTAGATTATCTTCTAAGGCTGATGTGATAAGAAAGTAATTATAAGTTGGTTTCTTGGAGCTTGTACTTTCCAGCGATTACTCACGAAATTCTGCTCTCATTAATTCTAATGTAATTACGCCCTCACATGAAATCTTTTTGTCTCAGATACATATATAAGATCGGATTTTACTGCGAATCACATCAGTATCATGTAAACGTTATCTGAAGTCACACATCACAAAAAAGGATTGATTTTATTGTTCAGCAAATTTGATTAACCAAGTAAACTTTCATTGCTGAAGTTAAGCATCGGACCAAACGGCTTCAGAATTCATTGTAAAGCAAGGAATGGTGCATATCGACTTTGACGTTTGTTTTTTACAGAACTGAAAATATGCTTGATATCAATGTAACTCTACAAAACTTTACAAGAAATGTCAGCAGGCACAGCAATGAATACAGCACTTTGTACTCTCACATTTGGTATGGGGGCATTCTGTTGGTCGGCGTGTCATTCGGTTTCATCGGAAACATCTTAAATCTGATCGTTCTTAGCAGACGATCAATCCGTGGGACGGCAACAACTACGTACATCATCTACCTGCGTGCGCTTTCCATTGCAGATCTCGGTGTGACAGTCACGTCGGTGTTTGCATACGGCACGTACAAGACCTATTATAGCGATGACCCCAAAGACATCATTAAAACCAGATTAACTCTGGACACGGTTTCCGAGACTTTCATGGAACCTCTCTACCTGATAGCGCAAGGAACGTCATACTTTATAACCCTGGCGTTAACAGTTGAACGTTTCTTAGTGATTAAGTACCCGCTGGAAATGAAACGGTACTCCAACAAGAAAATATGTTATTTAGTGATTACGACGATAGTTTTGGGAGTGCTGCTGACCATATTGCCAGAATTTCTCATGATAGACTTGAAATTCATCACGTATCCGTTTTGGAACAAAAACGCATCAGACCCGCCAGTCGTACTGCTTAGCAAGCCACTGGATGCTTTTGAAGGGTATCATTGTGCTCTGCACGCTTTCATAATCCCTATTGTCTGGCTTATCATCCCTTGGCTCCTGCTTACTGTATTAAACGGCTTGCTCATCAGACACATAAAACAGACCACAAAAATCTGGAGTGAGATGCCCTCTCGACGCACAGTGAGTAGAAATCTAACTATCCTTCTCATATCGATAGTAAGCCTGTACGTAATCACCAACCTCCCAAAATGCGCTTGGCAGGTATATTTTTTCGTAACAAATGACGAGCCTTGCAAGCTGAAGAACTCGTTGCAAGAAGGTACCCTGATGGACAAGTTGAATATCGCCGCTACATCCCTCACAGTACTTGGAAGTTGTTTCAACTTTGTCATCTACTGCTTCGTTGGGACCAGATTTCGAAAAGAACTATTGCGATTGTTTTCGTCTCTTTGCTGCAGAAAGAACCGCCCTCTTCCTCCGAAGGATGTCATCAGCTATAGTCACCACCCGACTCAAGAAGAACATTTGCGGATGGACGACGGTGATCTGAATATCGCGCGGCGTAGGGTGTCAATGAGCACAGGCGTGGACACATCTAAACCCATGCTGCAAACTGTTCTGTAAATTACATGTATCAAACTGTTATACTGAGAAATTATGAGACTATGCTATATGCATATTTCTTTTTTCTTCTTATTTATATTTCTATCGTTTTCACAGTAGATGTGATCCTCAGCCTGGTACAAATTAGTCACGTTACTCAGACCTTAGCAAGTCTGTGTTGTTTAAAAAATGTCAAAGGAAGAAAGATCTCCCGGAGAAATGTTGTCTGAAATGTAGGGTCACCTTCAAATAATTGGATATTTAGAAATAAAGGGATAACAACTGTTCGTTTTTTCTGGGGTAAACGACGATTTTACCATACTTACTAATGGTAAATGCATCCATTCCGACATTTAGAGTTAGTTCATATATTTTTTTTCAAAAAGGTTTGGTGTTTAGAGGAATAGCCATCTATAAAGGCCGTGGTCTGATTCCAAGCACAGATTCTAGAACTGCGATAACCGCTGTTTTTGTGGTAAAATGTAATTTATTATTTCTATGAGTTGTTTACAATCTTTTTATTGTGAAATATTAATTTCATACGAACAGTTGTTATTCCTTTCAGCTTTATAACTTATTTGTGTTAAATTGCTCTGTATACCTTTATATATTTGCCTAGTTTTAATAATGCACAATCGTCTAATTTGACATCAATTTGTACAGTCGGACATTATATTATTTTAAAGGTATTATTCTGTACAGTTAATGTCCTTTACATCATTAGAAGCAAAGTAGGCGAATTTTGTGTCAAAATAATGTTAGTTAGCATTGTATTACTTAGCGCGAAGTACGGAGGCTTTTACTGAAAAAAAAACAAGACAAAATTTGCAAAACTGCGTTTGCACACAGCGTTATGAATCGGTGTGAAGTAAAAGTAAAGCTCGGTCCATATATATATATATATATATATATATATATATATATACACACGGCACTACTCTACGCCCGAGTGCGCTTTACAATAACGTTTTTACAATAAACGTTTTAGGGGAGAGAGTACAGATTTGGTTAATATTATCTTATTATGGAAATAATATCAAAATATATGTGAAAATAGTTTCATTGGATCTTAGTTTTGATAGTCAAAAAGGTTTCATTTATGCTAGATGTGACCAAGTCTGTCAGAGTGAACAGACGAAACAGTCAACAGGTAAATCAAATTTCAGGATCTAGCATAAATGAAACCTTTTTGACTAATATCAAAATATATTTAAATAAAGCGTTTCTTGGCAAAAATCATTTTTACCTTTGAAAGTAAATATCAGTCGGCTATTGCTAAGCTTGGGCTTTATCCTTGGACTTGCGCCATCTTTTAACTAAGCTGAGTAATCAAATAACTTTAACTCCTCAAACAAGAGGTAAAGAAAAACATAAGCAAATAAATGACTTGTAAGTGTTTATTACAATAAACTGTATCCGTAATTACAATGTCTTTGTTGTATTTTCCATTGAACGAAGCCGAAAAATTGAGGTAATTACAAAGTACGCATAAGAAGCATCGGAACTGAGCAATAGAAAACTGATTGAGTTTCGATGCCGAAGAGTCACAATGATATTAACTCATTACTAAGATCAATTGTCTCGTAAAAGTCAATTTGATATTTTCATTGAAACTGTCAGAACTGAGTCCCGATGAATGATGCCATATGGTTTCCCATTTATTAATTGATTGCCACTGTTGCTACCCAAAACTAATTGTGTATATTGATAACGAAGCAAATACTGGAATATAGGCCAATTACAATCCATGCAAGTTAGCGCCACATGAGAAATTAGTCGTAGATAAGGTAAAATTAGGCGCGAGGGCACAAAACTGAAAAGATCTAGCAAATAGCCAAAAGCCGATCAACAACTTCGCTTTTAAATAGCACATTCTTTGCACGAAACATTCTTTTGTTAATATTTTTTTATATTAAGACAAAAGAGAAAAATTTATTGTAGACACTAGGCATTTATGTTTTCACCTGTCGAAGATGAGCCTATAACTACATTTGGAGCTTACTACCATGTGCGTATACAATAAACGAATAAAATTTCTGATTATGCATGAATATATTTTATAAGATAAAGAATTTCGAATAAAGAACGATCATGGCTCTACTTCAGTTGTGAAGTGTTAAGTTGATGCGTACTATCTCAGCAGATTGTGTGATTAGGATTATATACCAACCTTTCCTTATTAACATTAACAAACAGTAGTTTGTGTTCCCATGGTTAGAAATTATAGATAATTGAATAAATGTACTATTGTTGTGCACAATTCCATTTGCTTATCTAATATCTTTCTTATTTTATGCAATAAAATGCTATTTATGCCTTTTTTCGATCCACATTGGATATAGACAATATTTAAGAGACCCCACAAATATTAACTTATTTAATGCCCAATAAAATTACTAAATTATAATAATCGCATGTTCTTCTGAGATTAAACGTATAAAGATAAGTTACATCTTGGTCCCATCATGCACAATGCTATGATGGGACCAAAAGATAACGATTTGTATTGGCTATGTGGTTGGTTGTGCTAGATGAGTCTTCTAGCTCCTCCAATGCATCGGCGTTGATTCCTACACGATTGAAACAACAGGTTCCATTTTCATTTGAAAAACATACAAACCAATACATTTTAATAACTTTGCAGTAACTGGACGATGTTTAGTAGTTAAATATCACCAATACACCGATAAGCAAAGCGAAATATGAACTATACTAATAATAAAATTTCGAATAAATCAACTAAAAAAAGCCAAAGGATCAATAATTATGGATGATGGACATTTTCTTACTAATGACCTCACCTAGGGAAAGAATCCATGATAAGCACTCTCACTTTCTGAGTGTATTGTGACCTACTCTTCTCAGTATACGCATGCCATAACAAGATAATTTTTGTTAAAATCTAAACTCATGCCATATATATGAAATGCGGGCAAATTTCTGATTTATTATTCAAAAACAGATCAAAGCATATGATTATATAAACGAAAATTAGGGTAGATGAAAGATGAATATGAATTGAAAATAAGAATCCAGGATAAGGTGCTCTCTTTGAAAATACGTTAATAGGTTGTCATTGAACCAATGTAGCCGCTGCATTTTTTGTAGTATAATAGAACCAACGGAATCGTTTTCTTCAAGTCTGTCGTCATGTTTCAACTGGGTCTGAAGCGTTGTGTAGAGTCTGTTAACAGATCGGAATCATTCCACAAAGTGCAAAATGTATTTTTACTGAAGCGGCGGTTGCCCTCTACACTGCAGCTGTTTCACGTAATTGTACATCTTCAGCGCTGGTCCAAGTTTCAGTGCGAGCCCGCTCAAAACATCGGAGCGCTTCATCAACATCAGAGATATTCCATCTATCTCCTACATAATAATAAAAACGAATAAATACACATCGGTAAGTTAAACATTGCTGGAAAATATCAACCCGAGATTTCACTTTTAGCAAGCGGAAGACAGACATGAAATATAAGCAAAGTATAAAAATTCAAACATGAGTTTTGGGGGGTAATATTTACAAAAAGCAGTGTAACTACCTGCTCCCTAAATGCTTCTGCTTGTTCTAAAAATCCCGATTCCTTGAAATATGTGACCACTTCGTCCACTCCCCATCTTGAAGCGTCAGGAATCTCCTGTTTTGGTTTCAACGGCGACTTGGTTGAAATAAAAAAAGGGCTGCAAAGAAAAGTAATAGTTTTTGATTGCCATACTTAACAGGATATTGTCATCTTCACTGTCAAATATATTAACGAAACACTTCCATTAGGACTTCCAGATCGTATCGAACATATTTAATGTTTAACATACCGGTTTCATAAAATTTTAATTCTGTCGAAGGTCATAATTTTCTAACCAAGTAATGACAGTTAAAATTTATCTATGTTAGGTTTAATATGTTTGTGACAATGATAAATAAACAGAGGCTTTCACGAAATAGAGATTATCTAAATACCAGTTTTAACACGTCTGTATTATGGCATCGAGATTAACACCTGATAACAGTACCGTACGTAAATAACACACGAACACTGTTACACATGCAGACCCACGGCATGTCGACGGTAGAGGTACCCAAGTATAGCTTTATTCGATCAGCGAATATGAAACGGTAGACGAGGACAATTTGACCATAACATGTAAGGCACAGCGGGTGGAAATATTGCTTGGTCAGGACCGTNGTCGTGTTTTGATGGTGTATACTTCCACCCCCCCCCCCCTTCTTTAGGGGCCGTTGGAAAACACGTTTTCATGGTACGAAAATATAAATAAATATGCATAAAATGCTATCAAATTCACTTCTCAGTTCTTTAAGTTCATTATTGTAAAACGTTTTCAACTTTTCAAATAAGATATTAAACCTCAAACGTACACCAAAATTTATTTATTCGACAGATTACAATATTTTTCTTTCACATAGGCATTTTATTTAATGTTGAACGTACTACTTATAAATCGCTTTCTCTAGGTACGCAAATAGGCAAAAATTCTCAAAACATTTCAAGAACGCACCGCGATGACTGTCCACGCTAGCCATTTCGCTTTCTTCCATGGCAGATACACTGACCTGCGACCCCTCCAGTAAACAGCGGCTACACATCCATTTCCCTGTAAAATATCAGATGTATGTACATAGAACTGTTAAACATGAAAATAATATTTAGACATAAGGAAATGTAATTGCAGGTTGAAATCGTTGCCATACACTGACGACGAATTTAGTTCAGGCAACGGCATTTGAGGAGACAATATTTCATATTATAGGTTGAAGTAAGCATTATCACGGCCTTAAATCTTCACCAGACCAAAAATAGTAAAAAACCATTATTAGGCTTAAGTCGAGTAACTGGTTAAATATAAAGGCATTCCTTTCATTTTAACTATGCGAAGATATGCAATACTGAAGGAGGGGTATCAGTATAAAAATCATTTCAAAAGGGTGCCATTGCACATAGTTGCAAGCTATCTGCGATGAAAACGGGGAGACTAAGGTTAAACAACGAAAATCCCATGAAAATTGCCTATGCCTTGCGACAAATTTAACGGAAAACGGAGATAAGATTATATTTATGGTACATGTATTATACACTATATTATTGACAAACTCTTTTTCCCAATCGTGCTTTTTGTTGATATGACAAAATCCATAAAGTCAACAATATAAATCTATGACTGAGAAAATAAACTCAGCACAAAAGATATAATTCCACAGAATATACGCACATTGCCCCGGGGAGCAACATCGATAGGGTTGACTTATTACATTATCAAATTAGATCATACTTCGCGGGGATCAGGCTGCCCGAGAGCCACCCTTGTATCACTCGTTGATTTTAGTTTTAATAGAAGTGGTCTAGGGCACGTGGGTCACGCTTTGATACTCCTCACCTGTAGGTTTCTCTGCGACAAGGGGGTTGTGACAGTCCATGTGGTATCCTTTGTCACAAGCGTCGCAGAATAGCATAGCGTCCTAGAACAAAAGTGAAAAAAAATCAGAAAAATCATTCCGTTGGAAACTTTCTTTTTAAATTTTTTAAACGATAGACGATGTCAGAGCCGGTAACAAATTTGACAGACAAATAAAAAAGTCAAAGCAAATCGAAGAGCATCATATAAGAAAATCCAATTTTAGCAAGACACGCTCAATAACAATTTTTATCGATTTCATATGCTGCTGACGCCTTGCAGCGCCGAATGCCGTATTGCTTTCACCAGTGCATCTCTTTATAAATTAACTATACCCTTCCAAACGCCTCTATACATGATATAACTCGATTTGTATCCTATCTCGAGCGTTTCATCAATATGTAAAATTAGATTATGGATTCGTAAAATCGAAGAAAAAAAATCAGAGATCGATGTAATCTATAGGTGCGAATCTCAACTAATTATTGATTTTTCTTTGCCAGGAAAGCATGCCAAAACCCAAAGATAAAAATTATAATATATAGCAGACAGATGTATCTTTGTCATATACGGACGTGACGGTTGGTGCCTCAACGACAATATTGCTTAAATAGAAATTAGGACATCTTTAGCTTGGCATAAATGAAAAACAATATTCTCGTGACAAAAAATAACTATGTAAACGATACTTTAAAGGCTCTTCCGTGTCTCAATTATCTTAACTGGCAACCACATCCATAAGTAAAGTTAAAGTAGGCGAACTGTAGACAGGAAAGTTTTGTGTGCGATCTCACATTTCAAAGTTCTTTATTAAAATGAAAGTTACGTGAATGAACAAAATTACAAAATTAAACTTAAATAAAAGTACTAATTAAAAAATTGCCTTGATAGTAACTGCTCTGTACGATTTCTCCTCACAAAATCAGAAGCGGTTTTATGACCAAGGCTTTCCAATCAATATAATCTTTCAAACAGAGGAATGTCTGACTCCCGACAAAACAAATGCACAGACCCCATTACAGGCAAAACATATTTAACTTTTTTATATTTCCTTAGTTTTGCATGAAAATCAATAACTGACGTAACGAAGACCACAAAAATTCCTCACGAGTGCTTTAAAACAACATTACTTAGTGATAAGTCTTTTTTTTTTATGCATCGTACATATAAATTCCTGAACAGTGATGAATATTTGTGAGTTCGCACTCTGCACACTTTTCATTGAATCACGCGTGGTCATTCATTTCAAGTGTTGTTTTTGTCTTCTTTCAAAAAATAGTTTTATCCTACTTCCGGATACTTGTTTTCTTTTTCTGTTTCGAATCGGGTATAGTCAATGTCGACATGATTCATACCGCCCCAGTGCACCTTTTTTCAGCTATAAACGTTTTCAATACGAATCTTTGTATTAATCGGTGTTTGAGCGTTTTTGAACTGCGCTTATTTTCTTATGAATTTTATTCATACAATACACTTCAAGTGATGGTTTAGACTGAAAAATGCTTCTGGTGGCATATTTTACCACCCACTCTTCTTTTTTTTACCCCACAAAACAAAAAAATGCTCCTACCCTTACCACACTAAAACGAGTTGACTACATGTACAACAAAACTCAAAGATGGCATTCTACGCGAAATAAATATTTTCAAGAAGCACTAAAAAAGTCTTACAGGATCTCCGGCATCTTCGCAGATATTGCAGGTCTTGCAGTCAATGCACTGCCACGGGGAGCGTGTTGCCCGCCTTGCCAGCTCTGCCGAGTATTCCATACATGATGGATGGGCTGGAGAAAGATGTCGTGAAACCATAATAATTGTAAAGACATAATTGCTATCACTAGCTAAAAAGCGAGATTGCCTTGGAATGTAATACTGACACTTGATATGACATAGTAACGTCACATTTATAAAGGGTGAATGGACGCTTAATAGTGTTCACCGTATAGAGATCTATTTCTGGGAATGCTTCGGTGCTGTGCTTAAATCATGCAAGGTAACTTTTTTCCAAAGACACTTTTTCAACAACTTATCAAATACATGTTTAGACGTGAAGTGTTTAATGACCGCAATTTAATGTTACAGCATATAAAATGTTCGGCATTAAGCTGGATAATTTACATTTCGTTGCCGTAACGACTGAAAAAGTCGGACCGGTGCACAGCACAGTTTATACAGTACTAAAGTATCCAAGGTCGCACTGTGCGTACAAAATTTTCCCCAAAAATGCTAATTTCTGTGCAGGTTTCGCTCAATATTTCATGTAAATTACTATCTATTACTTTTTTTTATTATTCTTTGATTTCAACAGCAACAGTCAAACCAATCAAACATACCATGGACAATACATAAAATTTATACAGTTGAGCAGTTTTGTTTAGGTCTCATTACCAAAAATGAATATAAAATCAAAGATGGAGTAGGCCTATATATTGAATATATATATATATTGACATTAACGATCGACATTTACTGCGTTTTTTATCACAAAATGAGTAAAATATTGTAACGGCCGCACTTTTTCATCTATCTCTTTCTTTTATTCTTTTAAAATATGACAGATCCACAAACCTTTCGCGTTGCAGTCTTTACAAACCAACAGGTTCTCTGGTACTCCTTTTCTATTAAACGTTTCGGTGAGGAGACAGAAGTCGCATACTTTCATCGCACGCTTCGGGACTGGCTCCTCATGAGAGAGTGCGCGTTCTTCAGATTTCACTCCTTGGGGTTCCAGGAGATGTTTCTTCTTTAGAATCTGCAAAGATGATAATACAACATCATTTAACACTTACAGGCAAGGGAATCACCATCAATCAGTCGGCTAATGAATCAAGTATCGTTTCACTTTGAGAATTAGACTTTTGATCTGGTAGACTATATTTTCATTTGTGTAGAAGGGGGATATCATAGTAAAGATCGCAGTCCAATTTTGTATTTTCAAAAGCAGTTAAGTGATGGCTGTTTATGTGAATTCTTTTCCCAACAAGATGATTTAGCGTTCTGAAAATGCGTAAAACGCAGTTGTAACATTTAGAGTATATCTCTTCTCCAAGTTTTAATATAATGGTAGTTGCAGGCTATCGAAGACCAGACAAGACCGAAGACGATTTATATGGTGAATAGTTAAGTGAAAATAGAGGACATCTAGAAGCAAAGACCTCGATGATTGTATGACGTTCATAGCATCTTAGTTGATCATACCAGATGATCCTTAGCTGGGCGTTAGATTTCCATTTACACGTACCTACTGACAAAAACCCCAACTCTGACAATCCTACGGGAAAATATTTTGTAATTCGCACTTATATTTTAATTCTCTGTGTACACAGGTAGAAGCCTTTTCTTATTGTCAACTTGCAAAAAAAACTTGCTTAGTATTGGCTCCCATCATCCATAATTTATGATATTAGTTATCTTAAATTCCATATTTCTTTGAATATTTTCAGTACAAATACACCTAAAATTGTCAAGTATATATGCAGTGCATCTTCATTGCTGTTTTATTTTACCCGAGTTGAACAGTGCTTCGATGCCTAGAATGCTCTCTAAATGCTTTTTTTTCAATAATGACAGTTACTAGGTACAGAAGCCCAAGATAAATTGCCTGAAAATGTACTAAGGCGGATTGCGAAGATCGATACTGAATTGGAAACACACACGGAGGATTTCGCCATCGTTGACAGGTATCTTACTATCTCGCACACATTTTCCGCTGCACGCCACTTCCATGAAATTTTCAGATATATTAACAGCTGGTAAAACATTTAGTGACTTCAACGTGCATGTGGTATAGACCCCAAAAATACAGGTACCGATAAAACCGTTTCTTTGCTATCCAGGCCGCATACAATTTTTTTTAATTTTATGATATGGCGAGGATTTACGATAACCCCATGTCTTTCCCTCTAGGCCCCTTTTTCGACAAAACCTGCAATTTTATATGTTGGAGATTCTATCACGCTCGCACAATGGCATGTGTTAAAAGTCACGAATGCAGGAGGTTTAAGCGGTAAACCCCTTGCGACCAGAGCTGGAATAATTATCAAGTCATGCCGTAGTGTGGTATTATTAGCCAGCCAATACGTCGGATACGAGTTGATGTCCTCATAGTAAATACAAATGTCAAAGTGAAGTGATTAAATACATGTATAGCGTCACAGAGTTTGAATAAATTATGCGGATGAAAGGTAGTGTAATAATGGCTCCCCAACAGAAATAGTTATTTCACGTCATATAAATACCCGTACTGCCGACTCAGTAGGAGTCCAAAAATGCTTATCTATTTGAGACAAGGCAGCAAACTGTAGATCTCTCGGGTTGAAAGAAGCTAAAAGTGGTTTCATCCGCCACATCGTTTTACTACGTATTTTATCACAATTTGATCGATATATTTCATCTACAGGAATTCAGTACAACTTTCAACAAATCTGTATAAAACTCCTTGGCACGCTTGCCTGACACGCAAATTAAAAACTTAAGTCAAAATACAACCCCATCTCAATCAACATTTTCAACCATCATTATAGATAAATTCACCTTGGCACATCGCCACAGCAGTAGTGAAAAAAGAGGCGGCTACACTCTGCTGTGTAACCGACCTTTCATCCTGATATAGAGGACGGTCATTGAAGTATTCCCAAACGGGTTTTCACGTATACATGTCGGTAACTAAATAAAGGCGAGCCCTTTTCACCGCACGGTGATTACCGAAAACAATTTAATGCTCACGAAGTCACCCGAGAACGCGCCGACTGTGAGCTATAGTAACTGGGCATTGTGAGGTGTGCTTGATATCTATAAAGGTGTTATATAAATATTATTTGCGAACACTACGTAAAGTACAGGCGCGGCATGCCAGCATATACTGAGCGCTGTATAGCACACCGCCTTACATGCAGTCAGAGGGGAAAGGGTTATTTATATGCGCTGTACTGCTCTTGATCGTCTTACGGTTATCGTTACGGCGAGTTTACGCACCAGCTCAGGTCATTGCGGCTCCGGTGCGTAAATTGCCCGTTTCTCGGTGCATATTACACAGACACGTATCAAAGTCAAGATGTTCAATATGAGAGCGCAATCGAAAAAGAAAAATTTACAGAACATCCTGGATGCTTTTTTTTTTCAAAACTAACTGACTTATCTTCCTCGAACCTCTAGTCATTATTAACAATGCACTGGCTGTTTTATCGATATCCAATACGTTTGGCCAACCAACATCACTCGTTCCGATCTATCTCTCCGCGCGCAATGGAACGCGCCACCATATCCAGTTAAAGCAAATACGATTACATTAACACAGTATGACTTGGTCATGAATTATTAATTCCGCAGACCTATAACTTTACCCGACATTTATAAATTTGAACAAGAATCACACGTAGATCCCGTATAAAAACGTTTTCACGGTATATTCGAACAGGGAATTGAGCGAGAGGCATCACGTTAGATAGCCTTAGAGAATATACCCACATACCATCGTTTTCATGGAACTAACGCATGTGAAGTCGCAATTTATATGTGGTTATATGGAGTGGAACGGGCTCTATATATATTCATTGTGCGCGTTCCCTTCAGCATTCTTTTATCAGTGTGTATTTTTCCTAAGTTGTTAAGTGGGTGGGGAATAGTTTTAGAAAGTACAATACCTAACGCGCTAGTTTTCTTTCTAAGAACACTGTAGCCTTCTTAGCAGATTTCCATGGACCATTGCGTTAATTGGACCAAAATACACAGAAACATGACAGAGATTTAGAGTCAGAAATGCGCTGGTTATTTAAGAAAGCTATATAACAGATATGAGCCAAGTGCTGCCCCCACTACCAGTTCTACCACATATAACCTCTGTGCAGTGAAACGCATACCCGTAAACTGAAGGTGTATGATAAATTGAAATACAGCGAGCGCAATGAAATCTTCGCGCAATGGAGACGGGGGAAAAACAGACTGCCACGCTCTGTATATGATCGCGCCAGCTTATCACGCACGCATTGAGATAAGTGCAAAATGTCGCCTAGATAAATATGCGCTTGAGCTTGTGAGTCATTTCAATGAGTCCGTTTTATACACACCGGCTTTTTGGTGGCCGGACGGCCGCGTTTTCCATGATGTAGCCCGCCCTTTCCTGGCCCTCCAATTTTAGTCGGGTTATGCGCTTTAGGTTTCTTGTTGTCAGATAGCACGTAGGTGTTGTCGTTGAGCCTTGCGATTTGGCCCGCGTCCACCTCACGGTCCAAAGCAACCTGGAGATTCGCTTTCACCAGAGTTGATTCTGGGTCTTCGTTTGCAATCCATTTTTCAATCTCACTCAGGCTGACCCCTATGCTGCTGCTATTATTGATGTTACACGTTTGTGTTTCAGAATCGGGTAACGACTCGGTTTTTGTTAAGGCGCGTAGCGCGTTAACGATTCTCTTGCTAACTTCTGTTGAATTTAACACCAGTCCGCCTAAGTGACTTTTTCTCCATTTGGCTGCGTTTCGATAGCTGGTACTGCCTTTATAATCGACTTTTATAACCACCTCTGCCTCTACCAAGCTCTCAAGGTCAGCTTCTATTTCTTCCCTCGTCAGACCATGTTTTCTTTGCAACATGTGACAAATTCTCTCAATGTCTGGCCGAGCTTTGCGTTTTCGCAGTTGATCAATTGTCTCAAGAATCCAGTCCTTGTTTCGTACAACAGCCATCTTCGACGGGGTGTACGGATGGAGATAAGAGCTTTAGCAGTCTGCTGTCACGCTGTTAATCGTTACGCGTTAAATGAAAGAGGAAAACGCGACAGCATTAATGAGGACAAGCGGAGCGCTTACGATCAGCGCATGTGCAGTGATACCATCGCGTTAGTATTCTGGGATCCGTTATTGGATTTCTCACACGAGGCGAATGATTTACAAACATTCAACAAAAAGGGCACGAACATAGGCTTTCCTCTCCGGTTTTATACCTAATTCATGAGTTAAAATAAAGTCGTGTGAAGCGGCAGGAACAAAGTTTAATGACCAAGGCGGTACAAACAGTGGTTGAAGTGAAAAAAGTCACAGCTGGCCCGTCTCAGTTGTTGAAATAATTGAACCATCAAGCAATAGCTTGTGTACGGCGCAAGCAGCCAAGTGAATCTTTCGGGCTGCGGCACACACATATTGCATATATGCATGCCATCTAATAGCGTTTATGATATGAACACAAGGTTAATTTACTTCAAACCGGATGCTTATTTTGAGCTGTAATATGTAACCAGACAACCAACGTGCGCTGTGCGCACTGAACTCAGCTTATCATCACGCACATGTGTTGTTAGAGAGAGAGAGAGAGACTGAGAGAGAGAGAGAGACTGAGAGAGAGAGAGAGAGAGAGAGAGAGTAATTTAAAGGCGTTAACGACTTCGGAATAAATAATTGCTGTTGGCTTTTTCCCCGCTGTTGCTTCTAGCAGTTTAAATATGGTTGCCATAATATAGTCACGAGTGGTCATTAAATTTTGCTCGTCCACGGATTGAATGGGATATAATGCGCTTGTTTTCTGATCGTGTGCAATTCACCTAATCAAAATCGTGTCTATGTATAAGTACTCCTATTCTCTTGAGACCCGCCTTACGGGCAACAACTTTATATGGAGCCGCACAAGTAAAGACAAGAATGCGGGGAACTGATTAGATCATGATGCTCGTCAACTGTCGGACACTTATCATTCAGATTGTCTAACCCTTACTTATCATCCTAGTGATTTACAGTAGCGATTTTACTGCCTCTTTTCGGTGAGAATTATTTGCGCTCGCCTTTTAAGTGAAAATGGACAGTCTATAAGATGTGCATTTTAAAAATGTTGTTTAAAGCAATAGTATGAGGTTATGTGCTTGCATTCTTCCGTCTAGGAAAAAGTGCCCTCATTATAGTTGATTAAACACATTGCCGTACCTAATAAACCCATGACTGCCATGAACACACATTATTCACAACGCACATATGAAAGTAAAACAGGGGAAATTTTAATGCCATTCTCAAAAAATCATCATACTGTATATCATGAGCAAAAAAAAAAGCTGGGATAAATTAGTTGTAGCTCAGGTACCCGTGAAGTTTACGCACACTACACGGAGGTCTTTTTTTAGTATTTAGAAAGGCTAAGGAAGTACATGTAATAGTCAGGAACAATAGATCCCATAGGAAACTCCAGTAAGCAAGCTGTAGCTCATCTATAGCCACCAACGCGATTATGCACATAGAGGAAAGAGGATACCGCATAGGACAGATAGCAGTCGATAACGTTGATTGTTATTTCTAAAAAAATCCATAAGCAGTTGGGGTGTAATCATACGGGTTGAATGTGTTCCAGACCTTACGTCACCTCTACCACACTCAAGTACACCAGCTGGGTCAAACAGATATATTTATTATCTGGAGAGAAGGGGGGGGGCTGTACGTAGTTCTTTCCGCCGGTGCGTCCGGGATATGACGTGCATTCTTTTCCGATGTGAACTCTTTTTCGCCAAATAGCAACCTCCTTTTCTAGTTATCAGTAAAAGCATTAACCAAAACTACACCAAGGAAAACATGGCATTTTTTTATCGAACCAATTCTTGTGGAATAGAGAAAAAATATTAGAGATTTAATACATACAAATTAAAATATTGATACTACTTAAGAATTGTATATATATATAATATTTCTTTTTAGCAATGAATGTATGTTTGGTCAGATTACCTTTAAAGCCAATGAAACCTATTCACAGCACGTGCCTGTCCATACCCAATGTAAGGAGTACACGACGAAGAGGTTCCGGTACGTTCATGTCGTTGCCCGGATACATATTAATCACGACCTGGTGATGTTTGATTCACGATCAGTTCCTTATGCAACGCCGATAATTTGTATGCTGCAAAGATTATTTGACAAAATCATTAACATAACCCATGAAAAAAAACAAAAATAATTTGTTTAAGTTGCTTCCTTTAACATTTTGTGGGATCTTAAAAAAGGTCAAATCGAACCCGCATACTTGGTTAATTCATAATTAACAAATAAAGCGCTATCAAACAAGGTGATGTACCGTTTTATACGTGGTACGAGTATATGGCTCTTAAAATTGTCTGCGCTGTGAAAGTTATATCATTTTGTATCTAGGGTAAACAGCGTGGTTTCATGCGGGTAATAACTATTAAGGGAAGTCTGCATATGTAAGGGTATGCTTGCGGGTAAAATGTTCGTGACAACATTATGCCTTGTCAGCGAATAGTCCTAAGCCTACTAGGCGTCATCCCATCGATTGTTTCCTTTCGTTCCATCTATCTTTCTATTATAAGTGACATAAAATAGGATAACCTGCTCGTCAACGCATAGCAGAGGCATTTTTGATGCAGACCTTTTTCACATGCTTTTTCAGTAATTTATTTTCGATTTTTCATAATCTAGCTTATATGTATATTGATCACTAACCCTTCCGCGGAATTAGCATACATATTCATCTTACGCAGGAAAAAGCATGTCAGTAGCGGTTTGAGTGGTATGCACTGCCTTTATATGTGTACGAGTCAAGCACAGACAATTCAGTGGTCAGTTTTTCGCAGCCCTATTTTTGAGAATTTCATCCCTCCAAAGATCCAGATAAACAGTGTATTTTTTTTTCTGCATGGCCTGCAAAGCTACTTTATCTTTCGAATTCCCAATTCAGATATTAAAAACGACAAACCCCACATATAAAACCTCCTGGTGTCGATATTTACATCTGGAATCCGGAATACATGGCGATCTAAATCACTGGCCATAAATAGAATAAAACATCGAACGGGACGGATCAAACAGTGACGGATCAAACAAGTCTTCGTAAGGAGAAAATTGCTTTTTTCCCCAAGGAAAAATTGCTTTGGCGGGAAATCTCGCGTAGGTGACCTTTAATATTTTGTCTTTTATTATAAAGGCAGATGCGCCCGTGTTTGTGGTATTCCAACAAACTTGAAAACGTTTTATCCCGGCAAAGCGTTTTGAACTGACTTTTGTTTGGAACGCCATTGAGGTTTTAAGAAACTGCAAAGTAGCAGAGGTACTCTACTTTATGGAGATGCAATTTTATTGAACTGTGATAGATAAAACTCTGGAAAAACTGAACTGTGAATTTCAAGACTTTTTAAATTGTGATTGAGACATATATAGGTATATATATACTTCATGTTATTTACGTTATAGGCATACAACTGATATAAATGCAGTGGGCGGGTGATAAACGATTACATTGTTTTGTTGCTGTGGGTTGCATGCGGTATGGTTGATTGGGTTCGGTGAAGGACAGACTTGCCTAGGAGCATATAAAGCTCAGAGGAAATATTTTATAAAAGAAAACTAGTGGCAGTGGTGACTACTTAGCAGTTACAAAACGCTAACGACAACATGCTCCGAAGTCCAAGGTAAAATCATATCCAGATGAATAGGTGTAGGAACCAGGTGCCGGGGTGGAGGAGGGGGGTGTTGGTTAGCCCGTTGGCTTTTTTTCCCAGACGCTTAAGAAGCAAGGGCTGGGGCGGGGGGGGGGGGGGGGAAG